TGTATTAATTAAAACTGCTCAGCCATTAGCTCATGCCTACCACTGACTAGCTCTTGCACTTAAACTCAGCCCATTTCTGTTAATCTATATGTCACCAAGTTTTCTGTGGCTTTACCTGTGTGCCTTTACATGCTGCTCCCTGGACGGCAGGCCTGTGTCTCCTGACTCAGCCTTCCTCTTCGCAGAATTCTTCTTGTCTGTTTATCCTGCCTATACTTCCTGCCTGGTTACTGGCCAATCAGCATTTTATTAAACCAGTGTACAAAGCATTATCCCACAGCACATCATTAAGGTCACACATGTCTCTACAAGAAAAGATTAACAAGAGAAAAACAAAAATATTATTCAATGTGTTTTATCTGATATGTAAGCATTCAGAAATGAAGACCCAAAGAAACAGGATAAGCTGTGTGTTTTTATGCCAAATTTGATTTGGCAGATACTCTATGGGGTGTCATTGGACAAAAATCCTGTATCATTTGCTGGTAGCAAATTGGGGAAAACTCAGCAAAGCGTGTTTATTCATACTTTTACCTGTTTCCCTGAGACTTCAGGGATGAGGGCATTCCTGTTTCTTGATATAGGGTAGATACCTCTGGAATGAAGATTTAATTACCTACTTTGGGGAATGATCAACTAAGTTTTATGCCTTACTTGAGAGAACTTGGGGAAAATTATCTCTTCCAATTTATGCCATTTTCTCAATATATTCTAAACCCATCATATCCAAATGATCAGGTAAATAATAGAGACATTATCATAGTGCTAAGTATGTTTAAATAAGATCTTTACATTTATACTGAGCATCTGTTAAGAGAGGTTCATCAAACTTTTTATTCTTCTGAATTTATAATTTCAACTATAAAAATTTATAAATTCTGTTTTCTACTTCTTTCTAACTTGGGAATGGTTTCATATAAAACTAGTCAATGATGGTGAAAATTTATGTTGTGTGTTCACTATTGCTTATTTGAAATGAATTATCTTGAATGACATTAGATAAATCACAGAATTGAATGCAATGTTAAAAAGAAACAATTAAGTGCCTCATTTTCCTTGTGTTTGATGCTTAGTTCTATTTATAGAATTCTCTTCTAAATTCTGGAAACATAATTATCTTTCAAATCACTGAAGTACAGTCTGGGTGAATTTAACACCTCATAATGCTGGCCAGATAATCATTCATTTTGTTCATAGACCACTAGAGATATTTAATGCTCCTTATCTGTAAATCATCAATATTCAAAACTTTGGTGTGGTAGTTTGAGTAGATATGACCTCCACAGACTCATGTGTTTGAATGCTTGGCCCATAGAGAGTGGTAGGTATGGCCTCTTTGGTGTAAGTGTGTCCTTGTTGGAGGAAGTGTGTTACTGTGGAGGCGGACTTTGAGGGCCCATATATACTCAAGTCACACCCAGTGCAATAGTTCATTTCCTGTTGCCTGAAGATCAAGATGTAGAACTCTCAGCTTCTTCTCCAGAACAAAGTCTTCCTGAATGCTGCCATACTTCTCACCATGATGATAATGGAGTAAACCTCTGAAACTGCAAGCCTGACCCAGTTAAATGTTTTCCTCTGTAAGAGTTGTCATGGTCATAGTGTCTCTTCACAGCAGTAGAAACTCTAAGACAGAAGTTGGTATCAGGGACTAGGGCATTATTGTGATAGCCCTGAGCATGTTTTGGTGACTTTGGGTTAGGAAAGTAGTGGAATGCTTTAAGTGCTGCTCAATGGGCCATACAACTAGGAGTATGTGTTTCACTGGACTAAAACCAGGTTCTAGAAAATGTTCATACCTTTTGACTCAAAGCCATAGCTTTTGCTATGATACCAAGATGTAAATCTGTTCTAGCTGTTTTACAGACTGCATAGATCCACCCCCTGCCAGACTTATCCCAAGGCTAAAACCTCAGGGACCCTCCAGATATACCACTAGCCACTGCACCATCCAAGGACACGAACCAGGAGAATACTGGAAGGTTGACTTCACCTACATCCTCACTCATGAAGAGTTCCGTTATCTCTTAACTCTTTTTATGCCTTTACAGAGGGATGCAATCCCAACCTCCAACGAAACAGCAGATGTGATGGCTCTTGTACTCCTGAAACACATCGTTCCTCGATTTGGCATGCCATTTCCTCAAGCTCCTGGAACATCACTGCTGGTACCCCCACTTTAGACTCAAGGGCATATCTGCTCTTTTGTCTGGCTCATTCACCCTTGCCTCTTCTGTACAACCAGGTACTTCTCCATCCTATTCTTTCTAGCAGTTATCACTCTTCCCATGGTTAGCCCCACTCATGAGACCAATGATAGCAATCTATTTTTTTTCCACAAGCAACCTGCCTTTTCAGCTCCCTCACGGAACAGATGCCTGAGGTCTCCACATGACAGCTAACAGAATGCTTCTTCACTCACATCTTCCACTGTACATGACCCCAACTCCCAACTTCCTCCTCCCCACTTTGTCCCAAAATCAGCAGGAAGCAGTCTCAATAATTTGGTGCCCTCAACCCCTCCACATTATCCATAACTCACCTTTTTATAATAATCAAAAAGGGAGGAATATTGACATTCATACCTGCCCCTGGCCCACCCAGCACCCTGACAATGTCATCTTACATAAAGTCCTCCTTAAGAGAAAACCTCTCCCCGTTCCTTCCTCTCTCGTCATGAGGTAGCACACACCTCCTCCCTTCCTTTTCTTTCCTTTCCTCTTTCTCTTTTTCTTTTTCTGCTCTCCTCAGACCCTGTCCATTTTCTCTTTCTTCCCCCTTTAATAAAACTTTCCTCGTGGGTGCTGTGTCTACATGGTGTGAACGACTTTGCACTGTGCCTCCTTGGCCACAGCTGGCTGTGTCTGCATGGTGTGTCTCCCTCACCTGCCATGGGATACCGTGGCTCCACCCACCAATGCCTCTCTCCCACCATTTTATAAAACTTTCAACATAGAATGGCACAGAATATATATTCCCATTTCAAAAATAGGGAGTAGATACATAGTCATGTTTGGCTGCCAGCTTTGGATGGACTGGTGTCCCCTTCAACCATATTGGTTGCAATATGCAGTATTTGTCTCTCCATGTCTGGGTAATGTAGTCAGAAGTTTTCCTGTGTCCCGCCTGGTCCTGAGGTCAGGACAAATCTCTCCCACCTGCGTCCTGCAGCTGCTTATAAAATAATCACTCAGAGGCTTAATATTATTTACAAACGTATGGCCATGGCCTATGGCTCAAGCTTCTTGCTAGCTAGCTCTTATAACTAAACTCAGCCTATTTCTATCAATCTATATGTTGCTACGTGTTCTGTGGCTTTACCTGTTTGCCATTACATGCTGCTCCCTGGACAGTGGGATGGCGTCTCCTCTACCTCTGCCTTTCTTCTTCTTCCTGTCTCTCTCCTGGATTTCCCATCTGCCTCTAAGCTGCCTTGCCATAAGCCAAACAGATTTATTTATCAACCAATCAGAGCAACACATATTCACAGCATGCAGAAAGACATCCCATAGCAGGGTAATCTCACTCCAAATACATTAATTTCTATATCCATCCATTTTCTTGCAAATTTCATTTTTTATAGCCAAATAAAATCCCATTATGTGCATATATCCTATTTTCATTATCCATTATTAGTAGACAGACATCTAGACTAATTCCATTTCTTTGCTATTCTGGATAGAGCAGCAATAAACATGAATGTCCAAATAGCTCTGTGTCAGAAAAACTGCAGACTAATTTTCACAGTGGCCATACAATTGCATACTTCCACCAACAGTACTAGCATTCTTTTCAATTCCTAGCTTATAGCTGCATGTGGAATGTGCTGCACTTACTGTGTGACAAATGTTGGTGTTTGCCTCACATCATCTTAGTTCTTGCTCATGATGGACTGTCACATAGTTACCATGGTCTGCACTTTCCAGAATACACGCCTGAGAAGCAAGTGCTCTGCCCAAATATACTGTAGAGTCAAAATTAACATCCTTGCTTGTGTGTTTTCAAACTCGTGTTTTTAATTATACCTTACTTTAAGACTCTGAAGCTCCTCTTTGTTTGAGTTTTTAGCTCAGGGTTTCCTAGTATCCAGGAGGTCCTCAAACGCCTGATTTTCATGGCTCCACATCCCAAGTACTGAGATCACAGCTGAGTGACTTTTATGGATCCATGTATAGGGCAGATTTATGCTCCTGGAGTTTTCACTTTTTACTAAAATTTCCCCATGAGCTCAGCATTTTCTCTGCTCTCACATATAACTTGGCTTCATAATACCAAACTAAAGGAAGAGGCTATGGTAGATCATTTTTATTTTCATTTATGTAATTTAAGTTCAGATTCTGTTACATGTTGAAATATATATTGCTTATAGCCTTTCTCTATTCACTGACCTTTCCCAATTAGTGTCCACTAAAATGGATTACAGCAAGTATTTCTTATAAGTTATGATGTCATGTTGAATTATGATGATTATGAAGGCTTCAGTGACAGGAAAGACTGAATATATATATATATATATATATATATATATATATATA